GAAGAATCTTTAGAATCTTAAAGAATGTTGAATTTGTTCCTTCATCTTAAGAATCGATTCGAAATCATGAGGGTTTTAATACGGAGAATGCTGTGAATAGCAGACCACGTCTCAGCACCAACAACTGAAAACGTTGACTCCATCTTGCGCTGCTTGCATTCGAACATTAATGGGAAAAATGGTGGCTGGATTCTGCAGAATGTACTGCCATGTTTCATCAAAATGAGTTGCAGATTGTGTTGGAAAGTTGAAAAGTATTCTATGAATTGTCGGTAATCCCTGGGGTTGAGGTATACGTTACGATAGCATAAGAGTCGTACCCCAGAGCTACAATAACCTTCATACTGACGAGTTTCTGACAAACATCCGGTCTTTGTGATGCCACTAGTTAAACTGACGTTTTATTGAAATCTTTAACTAATATTTACATTTTTCTCTAAGGAAGTACAGATTCTCTGCAAACCTCCTGAAAAGTTTCGTGATACCGTCATGTTGAATGACCTTAGGAACATTAAAACTTAATCAAACTTTGGCGCTTGCGTTTCGGAAACACAGTGATTACGCTTGAGTACACTGCTTGTTAATGGGAGACTTTGTCATTGTGGAAGCGCATGAAGCAGAAAGAAACTCTATCTCCTATGCATAAAATTTAAGTATGTAACGTAATATGTGGTATAATTAATATTATTTCATTTCGTCGTAAAGCTTCTCTATAACAGGCATTCCTGCTGCCATTGTTAATATCCCAACCCTTATATTTCTCAAACATATTACAATGATAAAAAATAACGTATCAAACTTAGATCGGTTCTGAGAAGCAGGAAGCGAAGAGTTCTTTGCAACGTTTATAGAATAGAATAAGTCAAGATGAGATGCGCTTGCGATAGACAGAAATAGAAGCAGAATAGGTATCACGATTAATGCAAATCGACATTTCCCGTTATAAAAACCATGATTTCACGATTCTAGAGGATTCTGGATGACGAGGAACCACATTACGATGCATATTAAGAACGATGCATATAGAAAGAAAAACGAGAGATATTAATTTTCAAAGAACAAGACGACGTTACAGGAAAGATGATGAACAGCGGCGTGAGAAACAGGATAAGGTTAAGAGGAACTGTGTTATTGTAGCATTAATTATAGCTAGATGTTTAGATGTTACACATGTTTGCTACCGTCATCAGTTTTACAGTCTAAGGCAACAGTAGTACGATGACTACTAAACCGGAATAACTCGTTCTTTTTTTCGTGATACTTTTTTTTTCACGCTTCTCTATATAATGGAATTATTAAGATAAACCTTTGCCTCCATACAAATGCAGAGCCAGAAATCTATCGATCTTAAATCGAAAGAGCGTGCAGAACGTAAAAATGAATACGATGGAAGATAATGCAATTACTGAAATGATCTTAAAACAATCATTTATGTCTCATATAGCTACACGGAATAGGTTTTCTCCATCTAAGCTTTGTAATCGCATGCTTGCCCAGTACTGATGCATATTTTATGGCTCTATAACACTGCACGGTAATTTTTCTAGAAAACAGAGATCCAAAAAGAATTCAACCATATCTCCAATTCCTACAGTCACTTTGGTACTGTACTGGCATTGGAGCATTAGAAAGAGTTTATGTGTAATTGTCTTATAAAGTTTAAATCTGATAAAATTTGCTCTAAGTTTTGACAGCATTGCGTTGTGCGTATAACGAAGTTTCACGAATTCATAACGTTTCTTTTGTCAAAAGTCTCATTATTCTTTCTCAGAAGCGCGTAATAAGTGCAGAAAATAGCAACATATGAGCTTTGTTCTGTCATTTATACTCCAGCTATGATACTGTTTCATCTTCAGACTGGGATATATTGTCCGTTTCATTTTATTTAAAGGACTGATATATCTGTTTTTTCCTCTCTACATTCGTTACAGCATCTAATGCTGTCAAGTTAAATTTTCTGCCATTGTGAAATGTCGCTGTTTTTAATGAAGAACTCTGAGATACCTTTACGTTAACATATATATACACCCCCTTCTTGTATATTACAAGTACTTGTGTCACTTCTGATATACAAGAAGCAATCTTAAGTGATCGAAACTTGTAATCCTAAGTACTAACCGAAACTAGCAACAGACTGCTTGCGTTCTGCTCTTCCGAGGTCGCCAGTGTTCGCTTACAAAGATGGCCAAAACATTTATTTTTTATTTATATTTCTATGTGTTTTAAATGCCATTTACTTGGTGCTTGATGTTGCTATCAGCGTCAAATGTTTTCCAGAGTATTTTTTTTCTATGAGCAATGTCTTAATATATGCCAATGTATTGTAAAAATATTATGTAACAATACAGCAGTTCGATAGCTTGTGATAGACTCAAAAACACGTTGAGATTGATAAATAAGACAGGCTTAGTCTCTATCATTCATTTGCAGTAACTGTAACATTATATCAAACCCGTTATTTTTGGAATCATCATTGTACTGTTCCTCTGTTTTTTCCCAAATGTTTAACACAGTAATTTTTATAAGGACTACAGATTTGTAGCATTATAATACCTTTATTGGATTTCGATTTAATAGGCTTATGTTTTAAGCGTTAGTATTTTCGTCAAAATTTTGTTTGGGGGCGAATAAATTTCCCATCGTCAGTTTTAATAAATACATACTATACGTTGCACTTAGACACAACGTACATTTCGCCCAGGAAATAAGGTCATTCCCACATTGTTTTGAAAGCCCAAGAGCATTTGCTTCAATTAGTCTTCCTGAATTCGAGTCGCTAAGTAAACATATTTCTTCCGTTGATTTTGCATTCTTTTTGTGTTAATTTTAAATAACAATTTCATGCAACATACAAATTGGAGAAACATATGTTGCCTATTGAAGTGAAATTAAAGACTCAAGAACGTATTGTTATGCGGAACTTATAAATCGGATGTGTAAGGAATATAATCTTGGAAAAAGCACTCTGAATGATAATCGAAAATTCATCCAGATTTCAGGAAAAACATTGAGATGCTTTCAGAAAAGAATATTCTGAATATACCCAAAACTTTAACTAACTGATAATGTGTCTTTGATACGTTTCATTAGAGAGCAACTGAGCGGGTTGAATTTGGATTAAAAGACAAAATAATTGCATGTAAGAGTATATAGTGAAGGAACTTTGATCAACTATGCATGACTTTTACCATAGAAATAGCTTTCGAGATTTTATTATCTAAATGTTTGCAGTGAGAATTTATCAACAAGTCGAAATGATGCAATATTTTCCCAATAATATTTAGACATTGTTCAGAATTAAAAAACTTAGTCCTGAAAAGTATAGCTTTGATAAAGAGGCTTAAATTTCGAATTTCTGCCAAAAACGGTAGCAAGATCACAAGCAACTTTCTGTATTTGTTTTCATAATACACTGGTTATCCTTAATTAAGGAAGAATCACAAAAACGACGCTTACTGAAAACGTTACTTGTAAAATTTACTGAAACTAACCTGCAGTTTACAACATATAGTAAGTCATTAAATAAGATGAAAAGAAATTACCGGGCAATGATGGTGTTATAGAAATTAACATATGTATAAAATGAACAAATCGTATGTGTCAGTTTAATGTAGGAAAATTACCTTTAATATGGAGTATGATCTCCTCTAGAAGCAATACAACACATGCGTATGAATTATGCAGTTTATCAGTTCCGTAAGAAATGAGAGCTATTACTCTTGCAAAGCAGTTGGAAGCGTGGCAAGGATCTGAAATGAAGGACTGACGGTATGGTTGGTATGCTTTAGGAAGACGCAGCTATACGTCTTCCTAAAGCATACCAAACATGCTCGATACTTTTCAGGTTAAGTGATCGAGCTGGCCATTCCATGCACTGAATTATTTGCTGCAGAACATAATTCATCCACGATGCGAGCCATGTTGGTCTAGCTCTAGCATTGTCGTTCTGTTGCTATAAGCCTGAGCATTCATGGTTCCACGTGGAAAGACATGGAGGGCTGTGTGTCCATCCAATGCCACCACGCCAAACATAGATATTGCCTCCAGTATGCATCTCTTTCTGGGATTAAATTGCTTCTCAAGTATTGCCATTACCATATAGCCAGAATTCTTAATATCGTTTGCTCAAAATAAAATTAAAACTTTAGGATACTGCTTTTATAGAAGCTTAGGTAGGGTAGTCTGAGACTACTTAAGCTGGTTCAAGTAATTAATGGCACATATTTAAACATCGATTAGCAAGATGATAAAGCCGGAATAAAACTTTGGCAGAAATGGCCATAGCACATAACTGGACGCAAGGCTCCCAGGAGCTCTAAAATATGTAAACCGTCGGCTTAAATACTCAACAACTAATTTGTTTTGATGAGGACTACGAAAGGCAGACGTTAAATTAATGGTTCAGATCATAATAACTGGTTAATTAATGTAGAGTCCTGCAAAACTACTTCTACTTCATTGGCTTTTTTTTTTCAGAAATATGATATTAAGATCCTAATCTGATAAAATTTCATATGAATATCGTTGACGAATATTTTGGAGTTTTGAAATTTCTAAATTATATGTATAAAATACTTCTGGCGTACCAAATTTAACAAAATCCCAGAGCGAAAAAGATTTACTTTTGCTGTCGAGAATTCTGCAAATAGCAAACATTTTAAAGTTAAAATTCTCGGTCAGTTTTTCTCAGTGAAAATTAAACTTTTTGTATTTTAGTTTTTAGAACGAGTATCAACTTTTATTAACTGTAACCACAGGGACTGGAGGTATCATATAAAAACGTTAGATTTTGCATTTGCAGTGTTTTTCAGTATTTATTTTTAAAAAACTTTTAGAAGCAAAAACAGAAATATTTGCTGTATTTAAAGCATTTCTGTGAATTTCTGTGATTGGAAATATATATTTACTATCAACGGTTTCAGTAATAAAGTCTGCATGAGAACACGCTGTGTACAAAAGTTTCCTTTTTTTTTTTTTTTTTTTTTTTTTTTCTTTATCAGGTAAATCTGTGGGATTAGTAACTAACATGCGAGTGACGCATGCAACACCAGCTCCCCTATATGCGCATAGTCCTGATCGTTGGTGGGAAAGAGATTCCAATATCAAAGACGAGAAAGATCGCAGTCTCTGCAAAGATATAGGTAGACAACTAGTAGAGGACTATCCAGGAAGAAATATTCAGGTATAAATTCTTTTTCGTTTCTTTTATTAAAAAATAAATAAAAAAACATAACTTAAAAAAAATCTGAAAGATTTCAGATTTTAAATTATGTCCAAAAGGAGCGTTTTTTTAACGTTTCGTGTGTTACCTTTATTTATTAAATATCATGTTCTTTGCACTTAAACCATAAAATTCAGTTCAACAGCAATGTCGCAAAATAATTTTTAAATGAGCTTTAGAATTTCCGATACACAGTTCCCCGCGCTGGAGATAAAAAGGTTTTCCTCCCCCCGTAGAGTGTTGCCGTTGCTCGCTTTGAAATCCTTGAGTTTGTTAATCAAAAATTCGTTAAAGTTTTACAAAATACGAAATCGGTAATAAAACAAATTCCAAATTTCAAATTCGGTCTTCCAGATGCCCATATTCGTAGGAGGATTACGTCATTCAAAATTCGATGGCTTTATGTTCCGTTGTTTTATCACAATGCGAGAAATAAACATACATTTATGCAGATTTTTCATTATTTAATTTTTTCAAACATAATGCAGAACTCTAACATTTGGTGGCAACAGTTTGAAAAGTGAAACGGACATTTATAGTGATTCAACGCAAAATCGCAAAACGAAAATCATAGTCCTTCAGAGACAAAACCCCTTTGGACTAATAAATCGTATACACTTATCGTGCTTCTTAAAGAAATAAACATTTAATGAATTGCGTGTTACTTTTATTGTTTATTTTCTTTCTTTATCTTTTCTTTTATTGTTTATTTTGTTTCTTGCCACTCTGTTTCGCGAAGTAATTATAAAGAAGAAATTAGAGCGAAGCAAAACAAGAATCGTATGTCAGCTTTGCTTCATAAAAGAAATTTAAGCGGAGGGGGAAATATAAAGTAAAGGAAAGTGACTCATTTAAGATAAAAGATAATTATAGAAAATAAACCGAAATAAAACCGAAATAAAATAAATATAATGAGGCATATATAGCATAAAATTAAAAATAACAATTGAGAAGACAAAATATAAACAAAAGATTTTTTTCCAACATTTTTCCGCTACTGAGGGAGATTTAAAAATTGCAAAATAGGTCAAAAATAATTCCTGGCTGTTACACAAAACATATGCTTAAAATAAGCAATAAAGGTCAAATAACCGAATAAGAAAAAGTCTTTTCTAGAAGCTGTTTTCTGAAAACATATTCCTATTCTTAAAACATATTCATTATTAACTTTTAGATTGCTAAACATCTGGTGAGCAATAAGTCTGAATGTATTCTGTGAGGATTTCTCTTTCAAACAAGAACCCTTCCAGTAAATACTCTTGCAGAGGTTCAATTTATTTATCTTCCGTCAGATTTCGTTATGATCTATACTAGCATGTGTAAAGCAGATAAAAGCAAGCAAAGTGTAATCGCTAAACAAACTCAAAAAAAGCTTCAGAATTTGAGGCCCTTCCAATGAAACATTTTCAAACGAAAATGAAATTTTGAAATATTTATTTTTCTCTTTGTCGTGCTTCCTAAACAGCTATGCATTTTTATCAACCTAAAACTCCATGATTAAAACCATGCGTATTAATCAAATAACTTTTGCTTTTATAACAATATTGTAGATTTTTGTGATGTGTGTTAGGATTTAGTAAGTTATAGTTCTGGCTTGGAACTCTCAAAGTTTCCTCATAAAAATCAACGAGAATTGCTTTCAGTGCTTTACACCCTTTCTGCTTACGAAAGACTTCATGTGAATGCTGGGAATTTCACAAAATGGGGGAGGGGACTGCATCAAGAGAACTTCTATATTTAAAAATATCTTATGATTGCCCAAACGTATGAAATATGCATTTATATACAATTTGGTACAGGGCAGTTCAATTACAACAGCCGTATAGTGTTCATTAGGTTGCGCAACATCATCCTTTAAATTAAAATAAAAATTTTACTTAAGTCTTCAGAAATTCCAGATATTTTAATTTAAAAACATTTACTGATATTTTAAGAAGTAGAAAATTTAGTATATTATCAGTAACATAAAAAGAGGTATTACAGCTGTCACCGAATATTCCTTAAGATCGTCATATTTTTAGTTAAAATCCAGTTTCAGCGCTAGAATTTCTTCATTCTTATGCTTTGTAACGATTTTGAGAAATACAAAATGTAAAAACTTTGTACATGGTTGCCGTTGACCTAACCTGATGGTTATATAACTTGTAACTGAAGTTTTATTTTTTAGGTTATTTTAGGCGGCGGAAGGGAGTCTTTGATGCCTAATACAACCTTTGATCCTGAGTATCCAGAAAAGCGGGGCAAGAGAGCTGATAATCGACAACTAATTGAAATGTGGAAGAAACACAAACAGTTAAATAAGTTTCGTTACAAATATGTATGGAATAAGAAAGAATTTGATAAAGTAGATCCAAAGAAGATCGACTATCTGCTTGGTAAAATTTCACATATCTTTTTGTTTCTTAAACGAATGTTGTTTTCTCTCAATTAAGTATTCAAACGTTACTTGGATCTGATGTCAATCCACAAATATTGATTGTTGGTTAAACGTTTGGTGACTATCTCGCTAATCTCCATCCTTTGAATGTAAAACCACCTGTAGATTGATTAGAATGCAAATGAGCAGGTTTTTGTATTTCAGTGTATATTTAATCTCTTTAAAATCCACATATCTGTTGGTTATGCAGCGTTGAGGTTTTCCTGTCATTGATTAATACATTGAACTTAAATGGCACGAAAAAAAATTAAAACAAATTAAGTAATTTATTTTATACAACTTTTCATTTTTTAAATGAAATATTCATCTTCATTTTCATGTAATGGCATATGTAAAATATTAATTGTTTTAATAAAAACTATCATTTTTATTTTGTTTAGAATTATTGAAAATTTTATTTTCATTTTAATGATACTGAAATATAGGCAACTTTATTAATATGTATAACAATTATTCACAATTTAAAAAGTCGAAAATAAACCTTTTGGTACATATCGAAAGCAGTCGTAATTATTTGTATCAGCTATTAGTATTACAGCAAAAACATTCTTTTTTAGAGTAACAATTAATTTAAAATGAGAATTTTCTGTAAAATTTTTATGATTGTAGGTATTTTTATTGTAATTTATTACTGTGAGGTATACTTGTTACTACAATGATAACTAAATAAGAATAAAACACAAGTGCAAAAAATATATACTAGCTGTATATATACTTAGAATTATTAAAATTAAAACTTTATAACTGACTAATTAAATTCAGATATTCAAATTATAAAGATAACAGTCAGTCTTATGAACGGCGAACACATTTCTTTATTTTGTAATTTTTTTCTGTGAGATGTACAGGATTATTTCAAGTATTTTATACACCAGGGCTTCTTAAACTTTTTTCAGTCGCGACCCCTTTTTATCACTGAGATTTTTTCGTGACGTCAGGACCCCATAATATTTACGAAAATTTTGTGGAACCCCCATATGCATTGCGCAAATCCGACGCACATGTTTTTTCACTTGTACTGTAATATACTATTGCAGTTAGGTCATTAAATTTAATTTTTAATTTTAAGACATAGAACAATATGAAATTTTTAAATAAGTAACAGACGAAATGAGAGTAACGTCACGTGCGAACAAGTAAAATGAAGGTTTATATTATAAAAAGAAATTCGTCGAAACGTTTTCGTTTTTTTCTTTGTCTGTATTTTCTTATCTTTATCTATTTTTCAGATACACTGTGTAAATATGTTTGGTAATTGTAAAATTATTATAATAAGTTAAAGAAATATCAAAACTGCTAAAATTTTTGGTGATCTCTGCTGCAGGTCCCGTGACCCCATGGGAGTCGCGACCAACAGTTTAAGAAAACTCTGTTATACACTACTACTTTAAAATAAAAGTAAAGAATTAAACACTGCCAACTGTTTTTATAGTTTCGTGCGAAGTATTTAAAAGGTTTTGTATACATATTTAAAAATTCGCTGTTATTTAATAATGAAAAAAATATAATTTAGAGTAAGCGATACACTTAGAACATATTAAGTGGTGGCAAATGCATTATTTTACATAAAACTGCACATACACTATGTGTATTTAACGTTCATGTTCTTTCAAATGAAACGCCATCCTATTAAGATAATTTATACAAAACAGTTTTCAGAAAATTCGGTGTAACTGAGATTTCTCAACAATAAATTCTCTTATCTCAGTTAAACTTTTACGGTGTGACGTTATACATGGTGGGTAAACCTTCAAAATTAAAAGAAGATGCTAACGAAGCTATAATATTCTCTGCGTGTTTACAGCAAAATAGACCATAGGTTCCTTTCAATGAAATCCATTGTGCTTTTTAGGTGTCCTATCTTTATTTTCTGGTATGAGTTTTGCTTTTTGGAGCAGTAACAGTTTACCATCAATGCAGCACTGTTTGTGAAAGATGTTCTGTATGAAACACCCCATTCAAAAATCAATCTTTCAGCAAAATCATAAACTCAAGAACAGCGTGAAGAATAACCGCCTATTCACAGCATAAGATAAGCATGATTCGCATGATAAGATGACAGGAAAAAGACTTTAAGGTGCCTTATGTAAACAGAGCAGTAATCGTAAACGTATTTCAGATTTATTTGTAATACAGTCTTGTGTTGACGGGCTTCAACTTCTGAGCTAAATCTTAAAACTTTCTGCCCCATTACCTAGTTTTAGAATTTTCACATTACTGTTTAATTTGCTATTTTCTCTCTCCTTTCCTTCGATTTGTGACTGGAAGCACACTCGACGCATATTTAGGGTCCTCGTTAGGATCCAAGGTTTCGAGTCCCACTTACGGCACTGCACATTTTCACGTCCCCAGCAAAAGAAATCGTAATGTCTCTACAACTATATGTCTCATTTTTTTATCAAAGCCGATATCTAATTTATCCTAACTTTTGCAAGACTCTAACAGTAATGTTTAACAGTAATGTTAAGACTCTAACAGTAATGTACACTGCTCTGGGTGAGTAGGCTTTTCTTTCCTGAAAATTCACTATCCTATTTTCCGAGATTCCAGCTTAGGTATGTCTTTTTTTTTTAATTTCTGGGAATCAAAAGACTTCGAAAAAATATTAACATTGCCTTTATTTTAACAAAATCATAATTAGTAAATTCTCAAAAAGGAACGTAGTATAAGTCTCACAAACAAAATTGCGAAAAATACGCTGAAAGGAATTAAAATATAAACTCTTTCTGTTGGATATTAAATAGTTGATAAGGTTATACATTTTTAGAGACAAATATATAATAAAGAATTATAGTTTTCTTCAATATTCTTTGCGTTTTTCATTTTATAATATAAATCTCAAACTTTTATAAAAAATTGAATTTAATTCTTTGGAGCAAAATTATATTTTGTTGTAATTCGACTGCCTAGTATTCTTCAATCGGATCAAAATTAGAAGAATTACTAGTTAATATTAATCGTGTGCAGTTTAATTGTCAAGAAAGTTATATACTGCTCCTTCCTTTGTATTTTCTTGTAATATCAGAAGTTTTAGTGTTTGGACTCTCTGTATACGTGTTTTGAAATCTTCCATTGGTAGTATTTCATCTAGGAAAATAAACCGTGTAATAAATATTATGGCATTCATTTTGTGTATGCCATTTTGGTGCATACCCAGCTAGTAGTGTAAGACTCGTGTTTCGCTTCTCTGCAAAATCATAATTTCGCTTTTTGGAAACAACCTGTAAGAATTATGTTAATTTTATTAACAGTTAAATTTTAAGTTAAAATTCCTTTCCTGTCAAATTCTTACTTTCAACCTACTACTTCCGGCCAGAACGTACTTTTGGAATCTTGCTGAATATTTAATAAGGAAGAGCGGTATTTAAACCACGAAGTTACTTACTGAGTCAGAGAGAGAATCAGAGTTTCTGATTTACGCGCGTCTGCCTTTTTGGCCACTCTCTCTCTCAAAGCTGTTATTTCGCTCGGCCGTACTCAGGCCCTTGCTAAGCTTCGTAGTCAAATAAGTTAAGGGACCAACTCATATTGAATCTTGATAGCTTCTGCTATACTTCTTTTAGTTAATCTTAGTTTTAGTTTAATTCTTAGTCTTTTTAGTTCAAGTCCAAATGTGGGCTTTGCTTGTACACTCCCAGGCGGAGTTTGTTAAATCTTATTAGAATAATAAAGGGTTAGTTACCCTTCTATCTTGTTGTTTCTTGTCACCGAACGCAAGCGATTATTCGCTTATCAGTTCTTAGATTCCTCACTTCCAACATTAACTTAGAATTCCAAAGTGAGGTACTCTACATACCTAAAACAATATATGGTAAATACATTGTTTAAGGTGGATATATTGTAATTTTCAATTCGGTATATTCAATATACCGAATTGAAATAGGGTGGCCGATAACTCGTCACCACTCTAAATCAGTTTCCCTCGATCCTCTTCCCAATTGCTCTTTAAATGGGACGATGTAAGAAATAATATTATTACCCTGATGTAACCAAACTCCACAATAAAATAGATAAACACTTTCATCAAGAATCACCTCCTGTAGTCTGTAGTCTTATAGGTAAATTCTACACCATTCGGAAAAGACACATTAATCCAGAAGTTAAATTCTTTTCCAATGAACAGTCATTCCCTCTTTTGGAACACATAAAAGAATTTTTAAAGCTTTAAAAGAAAAAGAATTTTTAATATATAAATGGAAATAATGCATGCAGTTAGAAATAGTGAATATTCTTGAAATACCCCAATCTCAAATTCCGTAGCTGCTAGTTTTCAGCAACTCGAAATCCCAATGAGAAAAAGAAACCTAGTTTCTTCGATACAATGCTTCTTTTGGGATCTTCAGAGGGTGATATAGATGTTACAATCGTCATAGTCATTAGTCGTTAAATGAAAATAATGCATATAATTATAAATATTGAATATGCTTAAATACCCCCAAGTTCAAATTCCGTAACTAGTAGGAAGTGAAAGTTTTCAGCAACTCTAAATAATCCCAATGAAGAAAAGGAACCTAGTTTCTTAGATATGATGTTTCTTTGGGGATCTTCCAAAGGGCGGTATAGATGTCACAGTTGTCATAGTTATTAGGAATTAAATTCATTAGCTGCCTTCCGATCTGTGGAACGGGGTTTAAGCCGTTGCAAGTCAGGAAAGTAAAGTTACGTATGCGTTAAAATATGCAGCTGACGAAGTTTGAATCTGGCCGCATGCCTAGATGAGAAGAACGTGACTGAATGGAATAAAATGTGAATTTGAAGGTGCAGTTGAAATAACACAGATATTAGTTTCGGGATACGGAGGATGTGTCCTTGTGTTACCTTATCCATCTAGCAGCTAGAAGGTTTTGAGTTTAATTCTCGGTGAAAGCACAGTTGGTTTCCTATACTCCTTACTTGATGAAAATCTAACGAATTCCACATGTACAACAATTACTGCATTCTATGCATGTGGTGCCGTAGCTGGTTCAACTAATAATTTAATTTTATAATGAATTTGCTGGAAAGTATGGATAACAGGACTTCATCTTAAGATGTAAACGCTAGTTTGTTCAAACGGAAAACCGATATTATGAGTAAACTCTATGACAAACGGAAGAAAATGTTTCGAGGATAAAACTCTGGAAGGGAAAAAAATAGTAGTAGTAATCTAGAAGGACAAAAATTTCTTGCTTGTTGTGTGTTTCTAGCATTATTTTAAATATATTTATGTCTTTTTTCATTGCATATTTTCTAATCCATTTTAAATAAAAAAAACTTCTGTTCAAAAAGAATTTTAATATTTAATTCTTTTTCGCAAGCAAATTTATATTTGTTTTAGGAGAAAAATGTGTAGTCTTTTCTCATTTAGCAGTTCTATAATTTTTTCATTTATAAGAATACAAAGTCAATTTTTTTATGCACGCAATTAATCTTGAGATTCCACGAATTCGTAAACCTCCGGACAAATTTACAAAAATCTCGGGAAAATAATGAGAAAGGTTGTCACTAATTAAGTAAAGCTGTTAATTCTCCAAGCGGTTCTTTTACGTTTCAAGTAGGCAATTAATTCTGTCTTCGGCATTCAGTTTCACACGCCATCTGCATCAATGTAATTCATTCAGTTTTATGAATTCCCTTTGTATAAATCAATGTCTTTATGATATGGAATATTTTTATATATATGAATTTTCTTTATTATAATTATTAGCTTTAAAACGTTACATTTATTATAATTATATTATATTATACCGTATTATATTACAATATTTTATATATTATATTATAATTTCTTATTTATTATAATTATTAGCTTTAAAGGCTAGTATTTCAGAAATTATAAGGTAAAATAAAATTAGACTTGTGTGTATATTAATAAAAATTTTGTTACGTTTTAAATCTTCCACAAATAAAATTAATTTGAATGGCTCAAAAATTTATCCATTGGTTATATTTATATTAATTTATTATCGATAAATTCGTTTTGATTAATATTTTAAAATTCTTCTTAAAGGAATTAAATTAAAAAATATAAGCTGAGTTATTTCATTGATCTCCTCAGTATGCTGCATGTAATACATAAATAGCAACATAAAATTGAATTTTTTCAAGCAGACTGCATGATGTTTTTATGCTGTCGATGCATGCCTTTCCTTTCCTTTTTAGTACGAAATCCAACCGAATATCTCTATTCATAAAAATAATTATGGATAACAGCAAATAATAGTCACGCTTATTATAACGAAATTGTATGCATTTTTTTCAGGGCTTTTTGAGCCAGCCCATCTATATGACGTCACAGATCGAGATGAACAATCAAAACGTACAGACTACGATGAACCTACTCTTGCTGAAATGACAGATAAAGCCATCAGAATTTTATCTCGCAATTCTAAAGGCTATTTTCTGTTAGTGGAAGGTGGTCTCATAGACAAAATGCACCACAGTGGAAGGGCTGTTAGAGCAGTTTCTGAAGCTTTGGATTTAGAGAATGCTGTAAAAGTCGCCTTAGAAAGGAGTTCAAGAGAAGATACCTTGTTAATTGTCACATCTGACCATTCCCAAGGCATGAATTTTGCCGGATATGCTCCAGTTGGTCAAGATATTTTTGGTAAGTTTAAAACTTAATGAAAAACCTTTAATTATTTTCTTAATTGATCAATTACTTAGAACTATGGCAGTTCCTCCGGAAACACTATTATATGCCATTTCACATTTCCGTTGTGATATTAAATAACTGTCGTACACAAGAAAATCATCGTAATCAGTATTAATATTAAACACGATCTTCACTGATTTAATCAATTTATTAAGATATCCTGTTAAATAGTAGCAGTGATGTTTTTTGTTTTATTTAAATAGAAAAGACAATGTTTTGCATGCAGGTCAGTATGCAATGATTTCGAATATCATCTCATCATAATTCATCTAACTAAGAAATCACACAAAGTATTCATAAATTATATTTATCGTGGCTTGACTGTGATTCTTGGCTTCAGTATTTTTCAACAGTAGTTCAGCTCATCTCTTAAAATTCGCGATGGACTGCTCCATGAGTCTCAAACCAACATTTCCATTTTCGAGAGCCTGTAAAATACGATATTCGCTCTCTCGCAGAGATCTACTCCGGCGGTCTTCAAACCGAACCGTGGGGTTCTGTGAGTCAACTCCCAGAGTTTCATGAATCAAAATAAAAATTCGAAAAGAAAATTATAAAGCACTCATACTAGTTGACTAGTGTTATTACCTAAAAAATATAAAGATGCATTTAATTATTGATTAGTTTTAAAACTAAGCATGTGGTCAACATAAGTCAAAGAGAATGGCGTGCAATGTTCTGCAAAACGGAGCCGAAAACATCACGGAAGAAAACGTCGCGAAGAAGAAAGCGAAAACGTCGGGGTACAAAACATCGTGGGAGAAACATCGCAAAGAGAAAAACATCGCAGTTCTAAAATATTGTGGTACAAAATATCGTAGTCGGAAATAAAGCGGTTCAAAAACTTCGCAGTTTAAAAACATCGTTGTCGAAAATATCGTGGTAAAAAATATAGCTACAAATTATTGCATGACTATAACATCGCATACATGCGTTTTTCAAATCGCATAGTGACATATTATGTAACTGACTTTCTTCATAACTGACAAATCGAATTCCAAAAAATTGTCTGCACGCCATACATGAAAATGTTAACGACACTTGAAGAATAAACGGAAACAAAACAATATGTAATTTTCATTAAAACATTATCAGATTAAAAAATGTGAAAGAAAATAATTTGATCATTAACTAAGCAATTTTCATGGAGGTAACCTCATGCAGTTATTTATCTTCCCTTTTTTAAGCATTTTTAGACTGTATTTTCCATGAAAAATTATGTTAAACTTTATAAAAAAAGCTTAATTTATTAATGACCTTTTGTTAATTAACTATATAAATTTAAAATTATATTAAGCTTTCTAAGTTGCATTAATTTTCTACTCATTTTAAATTTTCAAATGCTTTAAGATTCCTTTTTATTTTTTCAGCAAATATTTATTAGGTCGTTCAAATGTATGAAGTATAGAAGTAAAAGAATCCCTTTGTTCTTCTTGCGCTCTATATGATCTTTATACGAACATGCATTTACAGCTATCAAATCCTGAAAACGTATGTGTGCGATGTTATCGTCATGCGATAACTTGTAGGTACTTTATTTTTACCACGATATTTTTGACAACGTATTAAACTACGAAGCTTTTACCCGATTTATTTTCGACCCCGATAATTTGTACCACAATGTTTTAGAACTGCGATGTTTTCTCTTACGATGTTTTATACCACGACGTTTTCTCCTTGCGTTGTTTTCTCCGCGACGTTTTCGACGGACACCCTGCAAAACTCAATAATTTGCTAATGAACAAATATTGAATTTAGACAACAGTGTTGAAAATTGTACAGTGGAGTACATTTTTCTGTTGAAGAAAACTATGAAAAAAGTATTTTCCAGCAAAAACTCAGTATAACTGAGTAAAAAATCCGTTCGAGTACAACGATAAGGGAAAGCTTGTCGGCATATCAACAGATTCGACGTTAAATTCCAAATTTATGCAAGAGTATCTCCTAAATGTGCTTGGTTGTAAATTCATAAAGTATACCTAGAAGTTTCTCACAGAGCTATAAACATTTTAATACCATTCGGAATAACATACTCAAGTGTAAAATCTTTCTCAACGGATGTGGCAGCAAAAAATATACAAACTGCGTATAACATCAACAGAACTACACTTCCATAGTCTTTGTTAAAAAAGTTCAGGCACAGGCCTGCTAATAATTCCCTTGCAAGAGAAATATAATGCAAGGGTAGGTTACAAACTGGAGCACATATTAGTGCTATTAATGAGCAAATTATACTAGTTTTCTGTTGAAATGTTTTAATAAAAAATGCAATGCTTTTCTTTAATTATCTTTACATAAAGTACCTGCAATATATTGATCTACTTTAAAAAATAGTTTATGATCTATTTTTCTAATGATGGGATGGTGTTTCCTGGAAAAAAACTTATAGTTCTAAGTGTTTCGTGAGTCGATCGATAAGTTTGAAATATCCCTTTCTCTTCGCTTCTCTTTTTTCTTCAGCTACCAGATTGTATAGCTAAATTTATTAAAGCAGCAGAGATTCACTTTACAAGGAACTACTCTGCGTGAAATACAAGACTTCAATAATTTTCTTTGGTTTGCTATAGCAGTCAATAATTTTATATTTGTGAATTACAAACCGAAAGCTTTCATAACTGTGTCCATATTAAGGCGACGGCACCTTTATGTATACGAGATACTGATGTCCTGCCATAAACCTAGGATATCCGAAATTAAGGTATCTGCACTCTAATGAAGGAAAGTTAACTTGGAAGAAAGCAACCTTTACAAAGAGGAGGGCAACTTTATGTCGGGTTATCATAATGCAGGTAGAAATTTAGTTTGCTTTATTAATTAAAATATAAAATTAGAACCTTATTTTCTCACTTCTTCTCCGCTCATTGCTTCCGATATAAATACAGTGGCTGCTGCGCTTTCGCAGAATTCGTTTTGCTCTTGAAAAGTATCTGATCGCCTTCGAAATCGAACTCTGTGCCGAAGTAAGGTCACTGTTTTGCTTACTTTTGATCGTTAAGAAATTATTTGGCGATTTCTGGTTTGCATGAACAGCCAACTAAGCTAATGGACTTTTCAATCCACTTACCATTTAAGGTCTCTTTACCAAAGGAATATGTTTGTCGACTGGCAATCTACGGCTGTCCGCCTTCCGGTTTCGGAAAAGTAGAGAAAGTTCTGGCACTAGCATTACCAAACTCTACGGGAGTCTATCTCAGAGAAAGAATAGTCACGAAAGTGTTCATTTTTAAATGCTGTATCGCTTGTCTTATGGGTAGTCCGGGAAATTTCACATAATGATAAGGTCTAATGTCACATAGTGATTGAAACTTGTCAGAAAAATCAGGCTCTGAATGTTAAGTTGATATGTAAATATCAAACGTTCAGAGGAATCAGATTTTAATTACTGTTACAGAAGGAAATGATGATTAACATTCTTAATAATAAATAAGTACAAATATGGGTAACTAATCCGATTCTATTAAAAATAAAATTATTTTAATGTTTCATTTTATTTATTTATTTTTTTTTACAATTAAAGTGCCTATTTCCCTGTTCTAATTAAAGTCAGCTTCTTATAATCAGTGGTAGTTCAGAATCTAAACGCATAGTTTTCACAGATGAAATCTAAATAACGCGTAGTTTTGACAGATGGAATGCATTGCTAATGAACCACGATAAGCATGTAGGGGATTTCAAATGAGATCCGTGATTAGTGTCTCTGTGAGATGCCTGTTTATTTTGTATCCAGCTGGTTATATTGCATTTTTAACTGTGACGAATATGTTCCTTAATGAATGCTAAATCAATATTTTGCTTTTCGATGTGACTTCATTAGAGAGCTATTTGTGGGAAGATGTGCGCATTTTACATACTGCTTACTTGCAACTTAAATTCAATTTAAGTGCGTTCGGTACTCCGTATTTAGTTTCAAAAGGAGGACCATGGATCCAAAATGAGGATTCGCTAAACAAAATATTTGATTGGCTTTTGCCCACAGGCCTTTTACATTTGAAACTTTAAAATAATTTGGTTTACAAATGTTTTATTTTTGGTTTTTTAAGAATTTATTAAATTCTCTAAAGAAATATAAACTTTTATATAATCCATCAATAAGTACAGAAAAATAATAAATTACGAATTTATTTTACAAGCAGTATTTAATACGTAAAAAGAAATTATTGAAGAATGGATTCAGTGGAGTCGTCAGAGAAAAATAAAAATTATTTGATCCTCATATACCAGTTCCTAGAAATACGAAAATATATAATGTTATTGTTTAAACCACATTTTTATCGATCATGGACGGTTTCCGGCATACTTAATTAGGCTTCACCTCCAGAGTTTTTATCTAAGAAAAGAGACAGTAAGTAAAAAGTAAAAACTGTAATAATTTTGGAGACAGCAAGGCACTCGTCGAGTTACGTTCCTTAAAGCAGAACGCAAGGGTCCTGATTTTGATGAAAATTTAGTCTCAAAATCTTATAAAAAGCTGTTACGTTTTCACAAGAAATTATGATATATAATAAGATGCTAATAGATATATATATAATAAGAAATGAGTTGTGAGTGAAACGTTTTGTTTTATCGATTCGGTCTAAAATCAGTTTTCTCAGTTCACATTACTTATCGGTTGGTGTGCATGTGTTTAGATCTAACTGTTAAAGGGGTTATCCCTTTCGATCTACTTTATGTGTTATTTTTGGTTATTTTAATTTGAACTTTTTTTTAACTACTCGCTTTTCGAATCCTGAGTTTTTAAAAATGTTTGGTTAATTAAATTTGAGATATTTTATAGCTCTTTAATTTCTATCATATGTATATAAGCATCGCTAGCCTCCTTTCACTGTAGCAGGGGCTTCACCCAATGCGACATTATGTCTGAAGATTAATTTGGTTAGATGGAGCAGGGCCTTGTCTTTAAATCAATTAAAATTATATCTACAAATATGTATTTTGACAAACTGAAAAAGATA